AAAGAAAGAAAGAAAGAGGAAAAGAAATAACCAGTCATACATTAAATATCTTTCATGGCTGGGCCTGGTAGCTGACACCTGTAATTCTAGCATTTTGGGAGGCCAAGGTGGATGGATCACATGAGGCTAGGAGTTTGAGACCAGCCCGGGCAACAAGATGAAACCCCATCTCTTTTAAAAATACAAAAATTAGCTGGGTGTGGTGGCAGAAGCTTGTAATCCCAGCTACTCTGGAGGCTGAGGCAAGAGAATCGCTTGAACCGGGGGGGCAGATTGTGCCACTGCACTCCAGCCTAGACAACAGAATGAGAATCTATATCAAAAAAAAGATTTAAATATCTTACATAATAGCATTCAATGGAACAGAATTATTAGAGTGAAAACTTTGCACAACTTACTGTTATTTACAATAGGAAAATTGTTAAATTATTTTATGTTCATATAATGGGATATTAGTCTGCTTTATATAATTAAAAAACTGGAGCACAACAAATACTCACAATTTAACATGAAGTAGATAAAAAGTAGAAATTAAGCCTTTAAGGTGTAAACTGTATATCGTAAATACACACACAGGAAATAAATGCTGCCAGGAAATACAACAAAATGATAAAAATTCTTTTATCTAGATGAGGTAAGTTTTCAGTTTTTAAAAGACGTGTTTTTCTGATTTAAGTACCATTTTACTCTAAATATTTTTTATTTGGAAATACAGATTATATCATGTGCAAAAACACACCATTAATTTTTAAAAAACCTTTTAGTCTTCTGTGCAGAATTTGTCTTTCAGACTTCAACATACGTATGTATAAGTGTATATACTCATACTTGTACATACTTATGATTATACTGTATTGCATTTAACTTAACACGTTTGGGAGAATATGTTATTTAACATAATTGGGAGAAGATTATTTTGTATAAATGAGCTTTGCAGATATGAAAAGCTTTAGATTGAAATGTAATAGTTAAAATGGCCAAAATTATTGAATGCAAATCTTTCTAAAACTAAGTATTATTTCTCTGATTTTATAATTATATCACATACATCATTGTTAATAATTTTTCCCTGCTTTCACAGTTGATTGTAAAATCGCTTATAAAGAAGGGTCTCTTTTCCTGTGAGGCTTTCTTGAACCTCACGGACTTTTTCTCAGATAAAAAGGGAGAATCAAAGGGTAAATGGAAGGGGAAAAGGTGAAAACATTTCCCCTTCCCATTCTTGTTTCTCCAATTTATTAATAAAAAAAGCTAACACGTTTTTTGTTTTTTAGAAAGGCTGTCTGTCCTATCTGCTGTTCCTCAGCCTCAGCATTTGAGTTTTGGAACCTTGGCCTCTGCTTGCCTGTTAGTTTGGGTGAAATGGAGGACAGGAAGTTTACTCTCATTAGCAAGGCCGTTAGAGAGATAGCAATTTCTTTCCATGTTGGAAATTTCTAAATGCATATTCCTATAATAGTATTTTAAGTGAGATTTAGATACTGTAATTATTATGTATATGGTATATTAATTACTATATATAATAACAGTATATTATAGAGTGTATTATGTAAACAGTATATTAATTTAGTGAGATTATTATGGGTGATTTGTGAACTGGTGTTAGTATCTCATCACCAGTTATAACATTTGAAAGGGATAAATATGTTCTGGGTTGCAAAGAAATTTAGTAATATTCTTTTTTTAAAAATCAGTTACTGCTTGGCTTTTATTGTCCCATAATTTAGTGCTGTCTTTGGGGGATGATTTGGGTTTTGCCCTTTCAGGAAGTTGATAGTTGTCATTCATCTTGTTGCTTGTGCATTTTCCTCTAGCAATCTTCCCTTCCCTGTCAGGTTCATGAGCACTGTTTTTAGTGGTCTAAGAAAGTCAAATGATCTACCTTGGTGTTAATAGGATTATTTCTAAGTTCAGCCAGTAGTCAACTTTGAATAGGATTTCTGAGATATTTTCTGGAAAGCAAAAGAGGTGTAGCTTAGTACAAAGATTATACCTTTAATTTTGTTTCCTCAGAGTCCTTTTGAGTAGTCAATGTTTTTAGATTTCATTCTGGCTCTTTGGAGTTGTCAAATAAGTGACTTTGAGTAAATAAAATGTTAATATATTTATTATAAAAACATTAGCCATTTCTGTTATTTAAGTTAAGTGCTCATTTCATAAGATGTGTTCATTTAGATATGTAAACTTATCTTTAGCTGCAGAGTAAGATATTTATCTTAGTGCTTTATCTGTCAGACTGCAACATATCACTACTGGTTAAATTTGAAATGCTTTTTAACCTTTTTAATTTTTTAATCTTGTGGATTTATTATGCTAAAGCAAACTGTTATTAGATTCCCATTTAGTTATAATTCCAACGCTTGTGTTAGGAACTATATACACCTATTAATGAAATGTTTGACATACAATTTAATTTTTATTCCTCTTTTCTAGGTAAAGCGTAGAGTATATCAAGGTAAATCTTTAGGCTTGTTTTGTTATTTGTACTATTCCCTCTGTACTGGTGTTTGATATGGCTTTTATATGTAAGTAGTTTTAGTGACTTCTGATGCCTGACTGACTTACAGCTTCTGAAAACTTTCCTATTCCTAGGTTGCTAGCTTGGATGATAGAATAAATGGTGATGCTCCCAACTGAGATGGGAATGAGGAGGAACAAATTGTGGGAGTAGGGAGAAGATTAGTTTCATTGGGGGCAGATTTACCTTAAACATTGGTGTACTAGTTTATTACATGTGACCAGTTTTTCTGTGTTAATGATTTAGGACATTAAATATTTATTTAAGTAGATAATTTCAGGACTAGAAATATAAATCAGCATGCTTGCATTTTCTGTTTCTCTTTGCAAATGACATATTTGAAGTGATGCCATCTTCTGAGAAAAAAAAAAATGCTTCATGCAGGGAGGAATATTGACCTTTAATATTTTACTGGGTTTCCCATATAGGAAATAAATTTAAATTAGACTCTCATTGAAATAAAAGTTCTTATTATATTTTTCTTAAATTGTAACAATGCTTTTACATTCTTATTCCTATTAGCAGATTGCTTTTTGTATTAATCTGTTCTCACACTGCTGTAAAGAAATACCTAAGGCCAGATGTGATGGCTCATGCGTGTAATCTCAACACTTTGGGAGGCCGAGGTAGGAAGATTGCTTGAGCTCAGGAGTTTGAGACCAGCCTGGGCAACATGGAGAAACTCCATCTCTATTTAAAAAAATACGAAAATTAGCCAGGTGTGGTGGCACACACCTGTGGTCTCAGGTACTTGGGAGGCTGAGACAGGAGAATTGCTTGAGCTCGGGAGGTGGAGTTTGCAGTGAGCTGAGATTGTGCCACTGAACTCCAGCCTGGGCAACAGACCAAGACCCTGTCTCAAAAAAAGAAATATCTGAGACTGGGTAATTTATGAGAAAGAGGTTTAATTAGCTCATAATTCTGTAGGCTATACAGGAAGCATAGTGTCATCTGCTTCTGGGGAGACCTCAGGGAGCTTTTACCCATAGCAGGAGGCAAAGCAAGAGCAGGCCGTCTTACATGGCAGAAGCAGGAGCAAGAGAGAGTGGGGAGATGCCACACACTTTTAAACAACCAGACTCCACAAGAACTCAGCCACTGTCACAAGAACAGCACCACAGGTATGGTGATAAACCGCTCATGAGAAGTCACCCCTAGGATCCAATCGCCTCCCACCAGGCCCCACCTCCAACATTGGGGACTATAATTTGACTTGAGATTTGGTGGGGACACAATCCAAACCATATCACATTTCAAAGCCATAATAGTTATGTTAAGAAGTTCTTTTTCCTCATGGTGCCAGATAACATGTCTCTTTGTTGATACATTGGGTAATTCAGTTTCATTTAGTGATCATAATAACCTATATATTTTCTTTTTTCAGTCACTGAACAGCAGATTTATGAAGATTATTATGAAAGATAATACAGAACTTGTACAGAAATTGTCAAATTATGAACAGAGGGTATAATTATTCTTTTTTTTTTCCCATGGTCCCTGCTTGAATTATTTTCACCTGTCTTATAGTTCAGTTACTATGGTATTTTAAAATAATATTTATTATTCCATTAATTCCTATAAACAATCCAGGGCTTAAGCAATTATGTGTGTAAGGTACTGTTTTCTTCTATAAGAGGTCAGTCACTTCAAAGTAAGTTCCAATAGCACAACACTTTGTATTTCTGGATTTTGAATGCTTTATTTTTTGTAGATCAAGGAATCAAAGAAACATGTTCAAGAAACCAGGAAACAAAATATGATTCTCTGTGATGAAGCAATTCAATTTAAGGTAAAAACTTCTTTTGGGGATTACATTTTAAAACAAAAGTAAAAATTAATGAACATAACTAATCTTAATATCTTTTTGTAGGATAAAATCAAGACACTTGAAAAAAATAATGAAATTCTGGGAGACACAGCTAAAAATCTTCGTGTTATGTTAGAATCTGAGAGAGAACAGAATGTCAAGAATCAGGATTTGGTAAGAGTTTTGCTGCTAAGTGTTACTAGTAATTTGGTTTTTGAACTCTGTAGATGGATTTGAACTTTTTATTTTCTATAGTGTTCTGTGAAGTAAGAGTGCGAGTCAGGGAAGTTGAACCTACTTATGTCCATTTTTGTGGGATTTTAAGTACTTACACAAGAAGTTACTCTCATGGGCCTAGGAAGTATTTTGGTTCTAAAACCTAGGTAATTGTTGTATTGCTTGGCTCTGCCCTCCAAAATATGTGGAGCAACTAAGAAACCACAACCCAGTTGAACAGTCCTTGTGTTTTGTTTTGTTTTGTTTTGCAAAGTTTTATTTTTTTCACTATAAGCATTTTACTTTATTAATAGAATAGTTTCAGAATGACATCAAAATTTCAAAGATAGCAAAGAGGGTTCCCATAAATCCTACATCCTATTAATCTTGATGACCTGACTGAGCTTAGTATTGCCAGGTTTCTTCACTGTAAAATTACTTTTTTTCTAACCTTTTTCATTATTGTACTCTTTGGAAGGAAGTTAGTAACACAGCCCACAGTTAAAAAGTGTAGGATTATGCTCCATCCCCTTGAGGAGCCAGGATCTTCATAAGTTATTTGGAATTCTTGTGTATGCATGATCTGTCTATTCTCACTCCAATTCTACCATTTTTAATTTAGGCAAGAGAAATTTTAAAGTACCTTGGGGATTTTTTTTTCTCTCTTGCCCCAAGGAAAAAAAAAACCACATTGATTTGAACTGGTTAACTTGAAAGTTTTTTCAGTTTCTTTTCTTTCATATTTTAGTCTCGCCATCTACCACATTCTATTCTAACAAGGAAGTTTGTGTATGCCATGAAATATTTACACCTTTGATTATTTTCCTTTACCTCTTTAAGTTCTTGATTTTTCCCTAAGGCAAAACTGAAAAACATGCTTTTACCTGAAACACAGGATGGCTCTGGGATTTACTTCGTTGATGCTTCCTCTTTTTAGTGTATATCCCAGTGTTTCTACTGAAATCCTAATATGCATTTTGTGTTCTGTTTTTACATGGCAGATATCAGAAAACAAGAAATCTATAGAGAAGTTAAAAGATGATATTTCCATGAATGCTTCAGAATTTTCAGAGGTAAAGCTGACTATAATTCCTACAGGATATTAAAACTGTATCATAGTTTTATTGAGGAGCAAAAATTTGATATGTGCTAAAATGTGCAAAAAATGAAAACTACGTGATGTTGGGTTGGGAAAGTAACTTTTTTTGGTTTTCTTTGGAATTAATTCACTAATAGGAGTGTTTTGCATTAGGTTCAAATTGCACTTAATGAAGCTAAACTTAGTGAAGAGAAAGTGAAGCCTGAATGCTATCGGGTTCAAGAAGAAAATGCTAGGCTTAAGAAGAAAAAAGAGCAGGTAAAGTTAAGTACATGTCCTGGGTCATGTAAAATAGAGAACCCAGTACAATATCACATGAATACCTTTTTTTCAGATCTATTTTTAAGGTAATGTACATGCAGGATTCCCTTCTTAGATATACAAAGTTTAAACTATATTTCCAAAATTGAGTATAGGTACACACTTTCTGTCTGTTCTGGATTTTCTGTTCTGTACAATTTATTTTGACAGTCAGAATGTTTAGTCTTGTTTTGCCAAACATCAATTACTATTAACTTGAGTAGCCTTAAGAGGGTAAGAGATTGACTTTTTAGACCTAATAATTAGATATTTTATCACTCTCCTTTTTGTAGTTACTGCTTCACTAGCCAAGGGAAGATTACATGATCAGGAGTCTAGACTTGAGAGATAGTAGAATGAGCCCTTCAGTTCCTTCTGGAAGTGAATTATTTGAATTGGCTATAATTTTCTGGAGGATGCAATAAACGAGATAGATTTCCTTGTCAGCTCTGATGTTCTCACTACAGCTCTGAGGATTGGGGTCACTCTCTCCTCCCACTTAACCAAGGTCTTAGCCCATAGTGATAGGCTAAGGAGAGGCATGTGTCCTTACCTCCTTGTGTCATTCACTTGGTCTTGTCCCCAGTGCAAAAGCCCTAACCTGTGGGAATCATGTATTTTAACTTTTCAGTTGCAGCAGGAAATTGAAGACTGGAGTAAATTGTATGCCCAGCTCAGTGAGCAAATCAAATCATTTGAGAAGTCTCAGAAAGATTTGGAAGTAGCTCTTATGCACAAGGACGACAATATTAATGTAAGTACATTCTCATGAATACAAGCTGAATTCTTGTGAATTATCATGAAATCTGTTGAACTAAAATGGGAAGACTTTAATGCCCTCTTACTTCTTTTCTAGGCTTTGACTAACTGCATTACGCAGTTGAATCGATTAGAGTGTGAATCTGAATTTGAGGGTCAAAATAAAAGAGGAAATGATTCAGATGAATTAGCAAATGGAGAAGTGGCAGGTAAGATCAGTCTCAAGGAGGATGGACCCCTTTTCCCTTCCTATCTTTGAGAACACTAATGCTACTTTTCATCTGGTTGTATTTCCTCTTAAGCTTTAGAGTTGTTAACACATATCACTGGATTTGTGTATATGTCTATTTGCATTGGGCAGAGGTGGATTGCTAGGGTATGGCATAGCAATGAACATGCAAGGAGCACTGCCTTTGTTTTTACATCTCCTTGAGACTAGAAGGGTGCATGGGAGCTGCACTGGTCATGTCTTACACCTCTAGGTATTGAACATATAGAGTACTAGAAACTGTGTTTCTCAATTTCATGGAGATAGCATTTTAAAACTCGTCATCTCAGGTGCTGTTTCGTTTTAAGGCCCACGACTGGTTTTAAGAGTACTAAGGTGATTGGAGGCATGAACTAAGGCTGTGAGAGAAAACCACAACTGGTTTTAAGAGTACCAAGGTGGTTGGATCCAGAAACCAAGGCCATAAGATTGGAAGCTATAGGGTAGCAGTGTTTACTGATGAGGAAAGTGTTTCTAGATGTTGTCTCTCAAGTTGGATATTGCTTACGTAGTGAGTGTTTTAAACCACACCTGATGGCAGATTCTGGAGGAGAATAGGTGGGAATCTTTCTGAATAAGACACTTACTAAGCCCAGGTGGAGATAGATCTGAGATAGAAGGCAGAGCTTTATCTCACATGTTTCTTCTTGCTCAAGAATGGCACGTATAACATGTTTATTGTGCAAACAGGAATTCACTTTTTGGATCTAGGTTTGCAGCTCTCTAAAAAGTCAGTCTAATTCTGTTCTATTTTTGTTTGTTCTTTAAATGTTTGAACATGATAATTGTTTAGTTTTGCATAAATCAAGAAAATACAGATTTAAAACACAAGGGAAGAAAAAGAAATGAAAGTCTTTTGTTTTTTAGGTGACCGGAATGAGAAGATGAAAAATCAAATTAAGCAGATGATGGATGTCTCTCAGGTATAATCCTTTTTTTTAGAGTCTCATAAGTGCCTGTGAATGCTTTCACTGTGTCTCCCTTATATGAATACTTCTCTCTTCTGTAATTTTTAGACACAGACTGCAATATCGGTAGTTGAAGAGGATCTAAATAGTTTACAACTTAAACTAAGAGCCTCCATGTCCACTAAATGTAACCTGGAAGGTAGGTTGCTTCTTGAGAAGAAATTGCTATGTATTGGAAAGATGCAAAATTGCATTAGATAGATAAAGAGTGGTTTCCTGCTTTCATACTTCTCATTCCTCTCAGCACCAAACCCCCAACCAATTTCTCAAGTTCTTGTGCACACACATAGGACTCAAATGTTTTACCCTTTACAGACCAGATAAAGAAATTCGAAGATGACTGCAACTCACTGCAATCTGCCAAAGATGGACCGGAAGATGAGTGTAGAACCCTGAGGCAGAAAGTGGAGATTCTGAATGAACTGTATCAGCAGAAGGAGATGGCTTTGCAAAAGTAAGATTTCCATCATTTACTGTTCACTGTCACTTGACTAAATAAAGGTGTACTAATACAGACAATGTTATCTTTTTTAGGATTACTTATACTTTTTTCCATCTCTAATTAGTACAAATTTGTCTTTCTTCCTATCTGCTTTGTTTCTCATAACCTGCATTTTTCTTTCCTTTCTAACCAGTTGTCAGAAACTGTTGCCTGTAGCTCATGTAAGGGGGAGCAGCTGACTGGTACTGACAGTTACTGCTGTGGAAGTGCTTCTCTTTTGAAGATCTGTCCACACATTTTCTGTGGCTCCACCACTAATTTCACTTTCCTTTCTTTGTGTTCAATTATGCAATTTCCTTTAAAAAGTCTGAGTGATTTGTATGACATGTGTTTTAGTAGAATAAAAACTTCAAAAAAGGAAATTTTGCTTATTAAAGGTACATTAAGTTTTGGACTTCACAGAGTCAAATATTCAGACTAAATGTAATTGTGGCAAAGATGAATTCTGAATATAGAACTACTTGGTGTATATATTTAGATATTAATCTTCTGAAATACACATCACAAATTTTGAGCTAGGTATCTTTTGAAAACTATTTTTATAATTCATTTCAAGTTTTTTCTCCACAAAAACATCTGAATTCTCTAAAAATAGATTGTCTGTGGCAGATACTATTTGTGTTTGCTCTTATATTTTACTCTATGGTGTATATGGCAGTGTGTGAGAAGAACTCGCTCGCTAAGCAAATTTAACCTTTTAAAATGCTTAGTCTGCTACTGCCGTATGCCATTAAACATTAAAACTATACCATTAACTTTTTCTCTAATTCTTTGCTCACCAAGCAGCCAGTTTAAATTTTCCAGATTTTGCTCAGGCCAGCTCTAAATGCCTATCCTGCTTCAGAGAGACATTCATTTCATTACTTTTTTAAAAAGAGCACACCTCTACCTCCAGTAGTAATGTGAATTACTTAAATGGCAACTGTTTTTCTTCATGATCCAGTTAACCCATTCATGTGCCACCACATTCATTCCACCTCCATGTGTGGTTTGTACTCTGCTGTCCACCCCTAAAGTCACTGTGTGTATTCAGGCCCTTGTCATCTTTTATGCCAGTCCCCTAGCTAATCACTTATCTATCTTAAGTCTGCTTCCAAATTTCTGATTGCCTCCATAGCTGCTAGAGTGAACTTTCGAAAATACAAGTCTGTCCATGTCATTATGTGCTTAAAATCTATCAAGTATGCTCCATTCCCTTGAGGGTCAATTCCATACCCCTTAACAGGTACAGAGGCCACTTTCCCCTCAGCTAGCCCTGAGCTGCCTCTCCAGGTGCACTTCCTGTGGTTTCTTCTGATGCTTCTTGAACTGTAGACACTCAACCATTCCTCCATGCCACTCTAAACTTTGTCTTTATGTATGCTGTTTTTTCTTCAGTAAAAATGTCCTTTATTGTTTCTGCCAGGCAGTCACCTACCTACTCACATGTCCTTGCTCCTAAAAATCTTTTTTGGAGTGAGTAGCATAAATAAATAGGTAGCTACCCAGACTGAGCACTCATTTGCTTCTTAAATGTAATTCCTAAAATATATTTGAGTTTAAATCTACATATTAGGATCTGCTTTTTATTTGATGGCCTGTTCTGTGTTCCTTTTTCCTTTTTTTGAATTGTTAGAGTATTTTAAATTCTTCTGCTCTTCTCTATTTAAGCTTGGTGGTTACAAGATGTTCTACTTGTCTTGTAATTACCTTAAAGGCCACAGTATGAATCCTGGACTTATTACAAAGTCTGACATAAGGGAACTACCTCTTCATAGAAGAGTTACCTTTCTTTTTTTTTTTAAGAGTCTCTCTCTGTCAGCAGGCTGGAGTGCAGTGGCCCAATCTCAGCTTACTGCAACTTCTGCCTCCTGGGTTCAAGCAAATCTCCTGCCTCAAGTAGCTGGGACTACAGGCACCCATCACCATGCCTGGCTAATTTTTGTATTTTTAGTAGAGATGTATTTTGTTTCAGAGATGGGGTTTCACCATGTTGGCCAGGATGGTCTCAATCTCTTGACCTCATGATCTGCCCACCTCAGCTTCCCAAAGTGCTAGGACTACAGGCATGAACCACCACACCAGGCACCAGGCTGAGGAGTTACCTCTTTCTGGGCTTTAACTTCCTCCTGACTTAAATGTTATTGTGGTAATGTATTGCAATGCTCTATATAGCTCAAACTCCACAAAATGTTTCATGTTTTACAGTGCTACCCTGCTGATACTCAATTTACATTCATATTTATAGTTACTGTCATACTTTATTCTCCTGTATCTTCAGTCTTCCTTTTGCGATCATTGTAATTCTATTTGAAGAATATACCTTAATTCAGGTTCAGTGAGTTTATTTTTGTATGAAAATGTCTTTATTTTGACTCTATTTTAAAAATATCTTTTTTTTTGAGACAGAGTTTTGCTCTTGTTGTCCAGGCTGGAGTGCAACAGCGCAATCTCTGCTCATCGCAACCTCCACCTCCCAGGTTCAAGTGATTTTCCTGCCTCAGCCTCTGAGTAGCTGGGATTACAGGCATGCACCACCACGCCCAGCTAATTTTGTTGTTGTTGTTGTTGTTTTAGTGGAGAAGGGGTTTCTCCATGTTGGTCACACTGGTCTCGAACTCCTGACCTCAGGTGATCCACCTGCCTCAGGCTCCCAAAGTGCTGGGATTACAGTTGTGAGCCACTGCATCCAACTTTTTAAGGATCTTTCTACTGGTTATGGAATTTTGATAGTTGTTTAATACCAGCACTTTAAAGATAACCAATTATCTTCTGGTTTTAAAGTTTCTTTGAGGAATCTATTATCATTCTTATTTTCTCTTTTTCAAATACATCATGCCTTCCCTAGCTGCCTTTAGTCATTTTTCTTTTTGGTTTTTCAGCAATTTTATTGGGAGATGCCTCATGTAGAGTTTTGTCATCACCCCTCCACCCCTACACCCTTGCTTTTTCTTTTGCATTTATGCTGCTTGAGGTTATAAACATCTCTTGAATTTGTGGCCTCTTTTTTCACATGTTAATACCATTTCATTCTCTCTTGTCCTGAGAATCCAATTAAACATACTAGGATCCCTCATCCCTACCCCTTTCCCAGTGCTCCTACATCCTGAATTTGATTCATTCTGGATGTTTTCTTCTGACCTATGTTCCAGTGTGCTAAAATCTCACCTCAGTTATCTAATCTGCTGTAATCATTAATTGAGTTCTTTTTCGTTTTACTTACTATTTTTTACTTTTATGGTTTCTGATCCTCTTTGGAATTCATAATCTTGGCTTTTACTTCCTTCAATATGTAAGGCACAATTGTTTCAAAATCTATGTGGTAATCCTATTATGTGGATCCCTTATGAGTCTGTTTCTCTTGTCTTTTAGATTGCAATCACATTGTCTTGTCTTATGGAATGTCTGGTTGGTTCTGATGGAGTGTTGAACATTGTTTATGAAAATTGTAGGGGGAATCTGAGGTCCCAGATGATGTTATCATCCTACAGAAAAGATTTGAGATTACCTCTAGCAGGTGGCCATCACTTTATTCCAGTTAGCTATTAAGTTCATTGAAAAATGGCTTAGTCTGTTTAAAGGACGTTATATTGCCTATTCAGTACTCCAAGTGTGCAGCTCCTTTCTGGTCTCAACCCAAAGCCTAGGGCTTTTTCTCAGGGGCCTTCTCATTGTCAGCCCTGAACTCACCTTTGTTTCTCTTAACCCAGGGATCTGTTGAAAGTTTTTCTCAACCTTCGTATATGTCTGGCTTATCTTTAATGTGTTGATGAACCTGGGGGACTATGGCTTAAAATGCCAGACTTACTTATAATTCTGTCGTTTTTCCTGCTGGATTTTCTTCACTGCCTTACTAGCTTTCTGATGCCTTCAAGCACATTCTTTATATTTTTGTCCATCTGTTCTTATTTTCAGTGTTGGCAGACTAACTAATTCATTATCAGAAGCAAAATTCTCTTGAATCTTTCTTTAAGACTTGTTTTTTATACATCCCTCCTAAGCCAGAGTCAGAGAGGGATTGTTCTATTCTTATATGCACCTTTTATACATTCAACTGTGAGGTGTTTTAGTGCAGAGGTGGTACTTACCATACCCAAACCTTTATCTTAGCCTCTTATAAGGTAACTAGTATGTTATAACCACTCACAAAATATTTGTGGAAATATGAAATGAGCAGTTATAAAAGAATACATAAACTTTTTTCTCTTTGGTGTTCATGATCTTTTTTACTATAGTGCCTCTATTTTTGTTTCCAATTTATAGAAAAGTTTCAAGTATCTTTTGTATCAGAATTATGAGTAAAGAAGTACAAGGGTAACTACAAGTAGCATTTTTAAACCATTCCATGTTGCTGCCTTTACAATCTGTGTTACAGTATGTTGACATCTTGAGCTTGAAATTTATCAGGTTAAAACCAATTTTCAGTACATAGCACCCTGATTACAGGACAGTTTGGATTCTTTTTTTGTTCAACAGATATTGGCAATACTCATATTTGTCTCTCTGCTTAATCATGATTCCTTTGAAATAGGTAGGGGAGCTCCATATCTGAAGTGTGAAAATGTTCTGTGGTTAACTGTACAGTTAGAAGGCATGTTCTAAAAAGCCCTTTTATTGGCTGTCTTTATCATGGTACCAGTCTTGGATTGAGAAACAGCCCAGAAGAAAATTAATTAGTGGATTTTCCATGGTTAAAAATAAGAGAAGTAATTATCCCCTGTTTTATCCTAATAAGCTTAACTGTGTTAGGTTGATCAGTCCTGGCTTTCTACATTGAAGAAAAGTGAGCATTCATCATTTCAACACAACAGTCTTTCCCATGGGACACATACTGTTTTTTTATTATATTTACTTACTAGTGAGGAAATAATTATGAGACATTAGAAAATGCAGGTGATGTATCAACAGGCCACAGTTGGATTTTTATCGTAAAGGACAGTTTGAATTCCTTCCTATGACTTTGTATAGTCTGTGCATTTTTAAGAGTAGGATAGGAAGTGACATTTTAATAGAGCATTCAGACAGAATGCCAGGAGGAAAAGAGAAATACTTTCCCTGACAACCAGTTTTATCTTAGGAAATTAAGTCAAGAAGAGTATGAGCGACAAGAAAGAGAGCAGAGGCTATCAGCTGCTGATGAAAAGGCAGTTTCGGCTGCAGAGGAAGTAAAAACTTACAAGTAAGTTCACACTCTAAAGACGGTGTCACTGGCTGATGAAACTAGGTTTTTTTTTTTTTTAGCACAAAAGCATAAATAAATGGTTAGAGGGCATGAATACATAAATTCACACAAAAGAAAAACTAAACTTTAAGTGGAAAAATATTAACAAATACCCAGTGCTAGCAAAACTGTAAGGGAACTCAGTTCATGCAAACAGTTCTGGGGTTACAGGTGGGGAGGGGGGCAATTTGTTGTATGATGTATCAAAAGCCATTAAAGTGATTTTGCCATTTGATAGACCCAGCAGTCCTAACTTTGGGAAATTTTTTAATGATATAGTTAAAGGATGAAAAAAGAAAAAAAATGTTTATAGTGGAAGATAACAGGATTATTTGAGAAACACATTTAGGAACAATTAAAGTAGCTCTATTAGAGTACAGTTGTTAGGGTAAGTGTTAACATAGTCATATTGTTTGGGTTTTTATTTGGTTGTGCTTTAACTCATAAAGCCAGTGTAATTCTTAGGCAGAGAATAGAAGAAATGGAGGATGAATTACAGAAAACAGAGAGGTTATTTAAAAACCAGGTAAGGATTCTAGTCTCCTATTTAGTGCCCAGAATTCTTTGATAATTAATACAGGCTATTATAATGAATCTGTAAGCATATTTTGTGATGTATTATCTTTTTCAGATTGCTACCCATGAGAAGAAAGCTCATGAAAACTGGGTAAGATTTTTTTCTTTCCTTTATTTGGTGCATAGTCTCCTAGAACTTAATTTGAATATATTTCTTCAATAGCTCAAAGCTCGTGCTGCAGAAAGAGCTATAGCTGAAGAGAAAATGGAAGCTACAAACTTGAGACACAAGTATGTGATTTTGATGCCTATGTTTTCAGTGTTAGCTCTTAAGGAATAGATTTCTGTTTCATATTTAAGTCTTTCTTAAATACTCTTTCTCTATATTCAAGATTATTAGAATTAACACAAAAGATGGCAATGCTGCAAGAAGAACCTGTGATTGTAAAACCAATGCTGGGAAGACGAAATACACAAAACCCTCCCCAGAGAGGTAAGGGAGCAACTTGTAAAGGGCGACAGTCTATTTTTGGTGTAAAATGTATATAAATGACTTTTGTTTCTGTGTATAATGGTTATGATACTCTAGGAATAACCGCAAGAACGTAAGGAAAAAAAGGCTCTCTTAAAATGGTAACAAGATGCTGTCATCTTTAAGTAATATCAGCCAGAATGGCTCTTTTGGCCCATCCCCTGTGAGTGGTGGAGAGTGCTACCCTCCACTGACAGTGGAGCCACCTGTGAGACCGCTCTGTGCCACTCTCAAAGAGATATGCCTAGAAGTGAATTTGGTGAGCATTCATATGTTTCCTTGCAATACTGATTTAGATGGCTTTTTCACTTTTATTTGAGGATTCTAATGCAAACAATACTTTAGAATTTGGTTCTGTCCAGTATAGAAAAGAAAATTTCTTAATTTGTTTTGGTGGATAAGTATTCAACTACAAGGTTTGTTTTAGAACAGAAAGCATTTATCATTTCCCCTGAGGTCCTTATATTGTTTCTTTTCAGTTATTTTACTATGAATTGTAAGCCTTTATTTTTAAATTACAGTTCTGTGGGATTCCTCTTCCAAATACAGCTGACCCTTGAACAACACAGGTTTGATTTGTGCAGGTTGGTTTATGTACAGAGTTTTCTCAAAAAATACCTTGGGAAATTTTTTGGAACTTTGCAATAATTTGAAAGAATTTGCGGATGAACCACACAGCTTAGAAATATTTTTAAAAATTTAGGTATGTCATGAATCCATAAAATACATATAGATACTAGTCAATTTTATCATATACTATTGTAAAATATGCAAAAATCTATTTTAAAAAGTTTATCAAATCATGCACACACAAACACAGGTATACATGACACCATTCACAATTGGAAGAAAGTAAACACATGTAAAGACACAGTATTAAATCATAAAAGAATAAAGTTAGCTGTAGTACACACTGCACTACTACAATAATTTCATAGCCACCTCCTGTTGCTATGGCAGTGAGCTCAAGTGTGGCCTGCATCTGCTTTAAACACCGTGTGATGTTAATCTCCATGTAAACATAATCTCTCACAGTTCTTGTGTATTTTTTATGTTTAGTGCAATAACATAAACCTTGAATAACACCATGTGACCCATATAAAATGCCATTAGTGATGCTGGAAGTATTCTCAAGAAGCAAAGTCATATTACTAGAAAAGTTGAATTGCTTTGACATACACCATAGATTGGAGTGTGCAGCAGCAGTTATCTGTCATTTCTGTCAGATGATTCATCTTGTAAACAGATCCTGTACACTTACAGTATAGACAAATACAATACAGTATTGTACACATATTTCCTCTTAGGATTTCATTAACATTTTCTTTAGCTTACTCTATTAATGTAAGAATACAGTATACAATATATATACAAAATATGTGTTAATCAACTGTTTATGTTATTGGTAAGGATTCTTGTCAATAGTAGGCTATTAGTAGGTAGGCTTTGAGGAGTCAAAAGTTGCACGTGGATTTTTGACTGCACAGGGGATCAGCACACCTAATCCCTGCGTTGTTCAAGATTCAACTGTATTTGCCTTAGTAACTTTATAATTAATGAGTCATACATGTTTCCTCTTCTCACTATAATAGTAAGATATGGAAGTCAGACTACATATACACTGAACAAAAATCACAATGTGGAATACTGTAAATAGAAGTCTGTAGCTTGAAGTGTAGACCAGAGCTATTAATGTGCAGTTTATTGTTCTTTCAGTGCAAGGCATTTCTTTCTTTTTTTTTTCATGGAGTTTCGCTCTTGTTACCCAGGCTGGAGTGCAATGGCGCAATCTCGGTTCACCGCAACCTCCACCTCCTGGGTTCAGGCAATTCTCCTGCTTCAGCTTCCTGAGTAGCTGGGATTACAGTCACGTGCCACCATGCCCAGCTAATTTTTTGTATTTTTAGTAGAGACGGGGTTTCACCATGTTGACCAGGATGGTCTCGATCTCTTGACCTCATGATCCACCCGCCTCAGCCTCCCAAAGTGCTGGGATTACAAGCGTGAGCCACCGTGCCCGGCCTGGCATTTCTTCTTCTAATTCTTTAAGTCCGTGAATAAATTATAAATGATTTGCCTTCATGAGTATTGGGAGACCCGTTTTTAATGTTGCTTTCCAGATAGACTTGAACCCTAACCTGTCTACACTTTGTTATTTCTTCTGATAAATACATATAAAGGCTCTGTTATTTCTTTCACAAGGATCTGTGGACGGGCCTCTGTCTCATCCTCAATGGTCAGCTGAGGCATCTGGGAAACCCTCTCCTTCTAGTAAGGGAGCAAGAGTGTTTAAAGAGTCTAAAACCATGCAGGAAGTGGGGAGAGGATTTTTTTTTTTTATCCTCCTCATAGAGCACACAATTCAGAATAAGCCTATGTCAGTTATCTGGTCTTTAACAGATCCAGGGTCTGGTACAGCTGCCATGATGAACAACAGCTCAAGAGGCTCTTCCCTTACCAGGGTGATGGATGAAGGCAAGGTAAATGTACCCATTTTCAATAGTTATTTCAAGAACATTTAGCTTTTCCTACAACTCTCTCTTTGCTTCATCTCTTATTTGTGTGTTCTATCTGTACTGTCTCATTTATTTTTCTAAAAAAGCAAACTGTTCTCCAAGAGCCTGAAGTCCCCTCAGTTCCCAGCAATACATCTTCAGCTGAGCATCCAGTAGCAGTAAGTGCTTAGAAGTGTGAACCGAACTGGGCTATCAATTGCCTGGCGATATTGACCTTAGTTTTGTCCTTGACTTGGGAGTGCTGCTGAAATCTGACTGATTTGTTGGCCTTTTCTCCTCTCTCCTGTTAGGTTAGATATTTAACCTGTGTAGAGCATTTCCTGTAACTGTAATTAATTTTAATTAAACAAAAGTGAAAAGTCCACGCTCTTCAGTATTTCAGTGTTTAATGCTCTTATGCAAAGTAAATTCATTGTAAATTGTATAATTCATTATTATGTCTTCATTTGGAAATGTGCTATTTAAGAATATCTCCAAATGTATACTAGGCAAAACCTATTTTGAATGATCTGAAATTACAGATTGATAACAGAAAAATGTTTGTTGGAAGTGCAGTACTGAATAGTGGAAGTCTGTAATTACACATTGAGCCAGCTCTCAGCAGTGTCCTTAAACAGTGTTCACATAAGTGTGTTCTCCTGTAACTTGTTTAGCTGTTAAGGCTGGTAAGTCCTCTGATCATACCTCACCATGCTTCTCTGTATTGAAATCAAAGTACATTTATTTTAATGATTGAGAGTTTCCAAACCACTTTCCCATAGGAAATGATTAGTCAGTGTCTCATAGTAGACAGTATTACTAGTGAATGAAGGTAAATAGAGTGTGCCTGTGTAATTTGTGTATATAACATTGTTTCTCTTGGAACATACTTTGGAGTTCCAGCACATGACTCCTAGAATACACATATCTTGAGAAATCTGTTTATCCAAGGGCAACTTGGATAAGACCCAAGACCCCTTTGAAGTAGAAGACTTCAAAGACAGTAGAGGCTGCTCTGTTAGAGAGGAGAAGTAGAGGTGGAGAGAACATGGCCTTGGAGTCAAACCTGGCATTGAACTCCAGCCCAGCTTCTTACAAGCTGTGTGACTGTCAGCAAATTATCTAATACTCTCTATGCCAGTGTTCCTGCATATTTAGGACAAGATGGTCCTATTAGAGATTTAGAGACAGGAGAATTTGAGTTAACATATGTAAGGCCTGTTGAAGGTACTCTGAATAATTGCTATTACATGGTAGAGTATGGGTTTTTCATTCCTTTTCATTCTCTGCCTTCTAAATATGGAAATTATTCTGATGGGAGGGATGTGCAGAGGGAGTAACTGCTTTAGAAATAGTATTAGTCAGGAATGTATTAGTCCCTTTATAACCTCTGCTTTCCCTTCCATGTGCAGATATAAGCGATAATAAGATTATAGCAAAAGTGTTCACTGCTGTGACATACTTTTACCCTTTCTAAGCTCTCAGTGTGAATGAATGAGAGCGGTAGTTGTTGCACTAATTCTGCTCTTTGGACAAGTGCCTGACATCTGCTTCATTGAGTTTTAGTTTTTACTGTTGTTGGTACTTTTGTCTGTCATACCAGAATATTTTAAAACTTCAATTGCTTCTACTCTGCAGGTTAATATGACTCCAAAAGGGCCCCCTCCTTTCCCAGGAGTCCCTCTTATGAGCACCCCCCTGGGAGGCCCTGTGCCACCACCCGTTCGATATGGACCACCACCTCAGCTCTGTGGACCTTTCGGGCCTCGGCCAATTCCTTCACCCTTTGGTAAGATGATCTGTACAGTATTAACTTGTAAATCATAGTCATCTTCTCTCTATATCCCTTGCTAAAACAACTGCAATTGCAGGGCTTTGCAATGCAGTGATGAAGCTGACTGAGTACATTGTAACTTCTCCCCAAGTTTCTTAAGATGCAAAGGGTGCTGCATAATGTCCTGTGATTAGATGTGCAATAATTGTCTAATAGAACAAGGAAAGGGGCTATACATAGAAAGCCAGAAATATTCAGCACATGTTTTTTGAACATCTCTGGCTGTGTACTAGTTTCTGCAATGGAATAACAAGGAAGATGAAATACATCCTCTAATTAAGATGTCCTATAGGGAACAGATATACACAATCTACAACATAAAGCTTCTAATCACCCGTAACAGAAGCATAAGCAGTGGGTCACAGAATATTAGAGAGGGAAAGATCAAATCCTCCACCCTCACCTTGGGGAATACAAAGGAGGGAGATATGAAAGAGAAGGTAGGATTTAACTGCTATCTAATGAATGCTGTTGATTTAATTGGGTGAAGCTGAAAGACCTTTCCCAGCAAGGAAAGCACCTTGATTTTTATAGCATACATTATGCACATGTTGAGCTACTACATCAATTTTTAATATACAGTAGTAAACAATTTATCAATTTGAATTTATCAAAATGTTTGTTGTAATGAAGCCATATTTAGTCTGTCTTCTCGTTATGGTATATAGTACTTCCAAGTACAAATCTATCTCAAGATCAAGATGATAGGCCAGGCACAGTGGCTCACGCCTGTAATTGCAGCACTTTGGGAGTCTGAGGCAGGTGGACTCCTTGAGCCTAGGAGTTTGAGACTAGCCTGGGTAACACGGTGAAACCCTGTCTTTTCAAAAAATACAAAAAATAGCTGGGTGTGGTGGTTTGCACCTGTCATCCCAGCTACTCAGAGTCTGAGGGGGGAGGATCGATTGAGCCCAGGAGATTGAGGCTGCAGTGAGCCATGATCACTTCACTCCACTCCAGCCTGGCTGACGGGCAAGTCTCTGCCTAAAAAAAAATAATAATAATGATGACAGACTATATTAACATACCTGGCATCATCTTAATTTAGCTATGTTCCTAGGAATTTACTCGACATAATTTTTGTTTTCCAGGCCCTGGTATGCATCCACCACTAGGCTTAAGAGAATTTGCACCAGGAAAGCGGGACCTGACACTCCACCCTCGGGAATTTTTACCAGGATATGCACCATTTAGACCTTTAGGTCCTCTTGGCCCAAGAGAGTACTTTATTCCTTGTACCCAATTACCACCCCCAACCCACGTCCCCCAGGATTACCCACCACCACCTGCCACAAGAGACTTACTGCCGCCAGGCTCTAGAGATGAGCCTCCTTCTGCCTCTCAGAGCACTAGTCAGGACTGTTCACCAGCTTTAAAGCAGAGCCCATAACTATGACCTCTGATGTTTCATTGTAGAAAAAATGGACCATGCGTTATTCATTAAAGGATTTCATTGGCTTCAAAATCCAAGTTTATTTTAAAAGATCTGTTGTTAGAACTAACCTTCCTTGGCAGTATGCATTTTTGAGCCAAACAATTCAGAAATGTCATTTCTTCCCTAAATAAAAATCACCTTTTAAGCTATAGCATCCTTACTACTTTGAATTGTGCAATAAAGAATACTTGTGTTTTTGCTAATGTAGCATTGTAATTGCTAAGTGATTTAGAATGTCATGAAAAATATGAACATTTCCTGTGGAAATGCTTTAACAACATGTATTTCCATCATCCTGTTTTTAGCGTACACCAGCTGAATACGGAGCAATGGTGTTTATATGCATTTCTGTTTTTCTTAAAAAACTATCTGGTCCCAAAGACTGGTAAGCTAAAAATGTTTACTAAAAGGTTACTAAATTTTCTCTCCCCTCTTGCTGAAATTCTTTGTAGTAATAGTTCATAAAAAGTTGTTTATTAATATTTCCCAAGTGTCTGTTGATTCACTGGACTGTTAGGAAGGTTGTGCCATTTGGAAAGCATGTAAACTCAGTCTGCCAGAATTGAAGATGGTGGCTGGCTGCACACTTCCGGCTGCTCCCCTCAGTCACCTGTGAACTCTACAAGTGATGTCTTTTAATTTCAAAGAAGTTAGTAGGTTCCCACTAGTGTAGCATTCACATGCTTGCTTTATGACACTCATTGTCTATTTGAGAATGGTTTTCAGAGAGTGAGTTTACATTAGTAGCAGGAGTTGTTTGACCTGATGTTATATTGCTTTTACCATTCCTGTAGAAAGGGTGCAGAACAGAAAAATGAAAAAGATGTGTCATACAAGAACTGAAATCTCTTAATTTTAAAATGTATGGTCTCTTATCTTTCCCACACCTTGCCACTGATTTTCAAGGAATATAATAAAAAGATTGGAAAAGTATAACGCCGTGAGAAAGAGTGATGTAGGGCTGTGAGGCTTACAACATGCTCTAGGTCAGCAACCAAGGGTTGAAATTAATTCTTTTTTTGAGGGATGGGGGGACGACAGATTCCAAAATTAATATTTAAACATTGGTGCTTTCATTTAAAAATCCTTAACTATCTGGAATTGCACCATACTTAAAAGTCTTATCCATTACTATACAGTGTCTTTAAAACAATGTTTCTTTAAACACTATGTTTCTAAGAACTCTTCAGACATTTTAATTACAATAATAATGGCACTTCTTTTAAGGAGTTTAAGATTTAGATTAAAATCATAAAAGGCTGATACTGTCCTTAATTGCTAGGCTATGTTCTTCCATTCTTTAAAGCTCTATGATGTAATATTTTTAGTGACAAGTGTATGACTTGTCACTGTTTTGATATTTAATCGATTAATACCTTGTATAAAGGAGCAAAAGCTTTGACATGAAACAAAATTTTCTCTTTATGCTAAACGACTGAAGATACTTTAGAAAGATAAGGACCTTTGAAAGAAGGCAACTCTTTCACAGTTCATAAGGAATATATAAATTCTTCAGGAAAAGAGAAATCAGTCTGTATTTCTTCTCACTTAATATCAAGAATAGAAAGAGGAAAACTCCATAGAGGGCATAGGCCACTTTTAACAATGCAAAATAAGATTAAGTCACAAATACAGCTTTTGAGTTTGAGCAGTGGAATGGGGTTTACATTGACTTTGGGGGCTCTGACTCCCAAACCAGGGCTCTTTCTAAATGGATGATTGGGTGGGGAAAACAAGGATCCTCAAGAATGGGAGACAATGTTGCAGGGGGTCCAGGGGCTGCTGTGGTTCCCACAGTTGGGTTCCTTAGGAAGGAACCTGCAGCATCCGCCAGCACAGCGCCCCCTAGCCGTGGTGTAACACAGAAACGGGGAACCCTCCTTAACCTACCCTGAAGATCAAGCTGAAGCTTCCGGGACCCCTGGAAAAGTCAGACTAGTCTGGACTTCCTCTTCATCCAGGAAGCCTTCCCACCTCTTCTGCTGCCACCCTAGGCTGACACAGGGACCTCTCTATGCTCAGTGCTGAACTCTAAACTGTCCTCAATTTCACTGTCTTGCCTGCATCCTGCTTTCCCCCCACAAGGCTTGGCAAAGGCCAGAGTGACTCAGTGTCTGGCACAGGGCCTGACAGTGTGTGGGGGGTGCGTTCCTAAAAGTCAGCTGCAGCGAGACTGTGGAGGTGGGCACAGTGTTACCTATGAACTCATTAGGCCCTGGTCATCACGGCACCTGGGGCTGGGGGAGTCTAGCCCGAGGAGTCAAATTATGGCTGCGAATCCAGAGGCTGCTTTCTGTGACCAAGGGCAAGGGACTTACTCTTCTAACTGCCAGTTGCCTCGTTCATAAAGCAGGCATCCTAATACCCGCCCAAGGCTGTGGTGCCTAACACGTGACCTGGCTCACAGAGACCCTCAATCCACACATGTTATCTACCTGTCCTCTTCATTTGGCTGGGAGGACTGCCTGCAGTGGGTCTAAAGGATAGGTGAGGGCTGACCTGCAGCCCGAATTCCACACACCCAGACGTGTGCTCTGGTGGGGGCTCAGCCTCTGCTTGGCAGAAGGGGCACTTTCCTCTCACCTGCACAGTGGCACCTGTGGACTAGTGGCTTCCCAGCACAAAGGGTTTAAAGCATTTGGGAAGTCAAAACCTGGCCTCGCCAGAATTCCAGAGTCTGCACAGGGTGTGTGGCTGAGAAGTCCAGGTTCTGGTGCCAGACTGCCTAGTGAGAAGCCTGGCACCACTGGGTCAGGTTAGTGCATTATTTTTTTTTTTAGATGAAATTTTGCTGTTGTCGCCCAGGCTGGATTGCAATGGTGCAATCTCGGCTCACTGCAAATTCTGCCTCCTGGGTTCAAGCAATTCTCCTCCCTCAACCTCTGGAGTAGCTGGGATTACAGACACTGGACACTAAGCCTGGCTAATTTTTGTATTTTTAGCAGAGACGGGGTTTCACCATGTTGGCCAGGCTGGTCTCGAACCTCTGACCTCAGGTGATCTGCCTGCCTCAGCCTCCCAAAGTGCTGGGATTACAGGCATGAGCCATCACATGAGGCCAGGTTAGTGTACTTCTGTGAGCCTGAGTGTCCTCCTTGAAATGGTGACAATAATACCAAGCCTCTTAAGGTCACTCATTCCACACATACTGGAGAGTCTACTGTGTCAGGCATTGTTCTAGGGTATTCTTAGGATTTAGGGGTACCCAGCAAGAACTCAGTAAATTATAGCTACAGTTCCTATTAGGCGGCCAATATAAATGCTTGATGAGTGAATGAATGACTTCCTTCTGGGACTTGGTAGCAAATAAAGCCGAGCTTTGTCTTAGGGAGGATTGGAGACTTTGCCCCTGCTTGTCTTGAAGCCAGCCAGACCTTGCCCCTAGGATACCTCTGCCCAGCAATGGGAGGTGAGGAGCAAGGCCTGGGGCTCTCCAGGAGGTCATGGGCATTAGGTCACTTGGAGTTTGTGTGCTTGTGTTTCTCCGAGGCCTGGCAGAGGGAGGCCCCTGACTACCCACCTCTGTGCCCAGGTTCGCCACCGTTGGCAATGTGACCTTGCACTCCCTCCATGGGGTGCTCTTTCTACATCTGCACTTAACGTCCTCTGTCATCCCAAGGTCGAATGAGGTAACAGAGCCCAGCCCTAGGGCGGACACACATGACATCCCCAGCTAATAATTCTTTCCTCCCATTGTTGGCAAAACAATCATCTTGCCCCTTTTTGAATATACCCTAAACTTTCCAGCCTTTCTAAGAAAGGCTTCCTTAGAAAAAAAAAAAAAAAAAGCCTTTCTTAGAAAAAGCTACATGAGGCTGGGTGCAGAGGCTCACGCCTGAATCCCAGCACTTTGGGAGACCAAGACGGGCCTATCACCTGAGGTCAGGAGTTGGAGACCAGCCTGGCCAACATGGCAAAACCCCATCTGTATCAAAAATATAAAAATTAGCCAGGTGTGGTGGCACACACCTGTAATCTCAGCTACTTGGGAGGCTTAGGTAGGAGAATTGCTTGAACCTGTGGGTCAGAGGTTGCAGTGAGCCAAGATCACACCACTGTACTTCAGCCTGGGAGACAAAGCAAGTTTCCCTCTCAGGAAAAAAAAAAAAAAAAGGAAAAAGAAAAAAGAAAAAGGAAAGGACATGCTACATGCTTAACTTAGAAATCTACTTCTAAATGCCACATCAGCCTAAGATAAATTCATAATAGAAAACAGGATACAGGTTTTAACTGGTTATAAAAGTTATGTAACTAAACCTGTTTTTTGTTTTTTGATCTCTATTGATAGTTTGAGGAGTTTGTTTTTGAGGAAAAAAAAAACAACAACACCATAATTAGTCAGACACCCTGCTAATTTTTGTATTTTTAGTAGAAATGAGGTTTCTCCATGATGGCCAGGCCGGTCTTGAACTCCCAACCTTTGCCTCCCAAAATGGTAGGATTACATGCATGAGCCACAGTACTCAGCCTGATAGTTATTTTAAGATAATTTTTCTCCTTTTTCCATTTTGTTTTCTTTCTTCTTTTTTGAGACAGAGTTTTGCTCTTGTCGCCCAGGCTGGAGCATAGTGGTATGACCTTGGCTCACTGCAACCCCTGCCTCCCGGGTTCAAGCGATTCTCCTGCCTCAGCCTCCTGAGTAGCTGGGATTACAGGAGTGTGCCACCACACCCGGCTAATTTTTGTATTTTTAGTAGAGACAGGGTTTCCCCATCGTGGCTAGGCTGGTCTCAAACTCCTGACCTCAGGTGATCTGCCCACCTTGGCCTCCCAAAGTGCTGGGATTACAGGCGTGAGCCACTGTGCCCAGCCGCCATTTTGCTTTATTTTGTTCTACAGAAGTTAGCTTATTAATTTCCTCTGTCATTCTCTTTCATGGTTCTTGCTTTAAAAACTCCAAAGTGAGCAGATCAGCAATAAAAGTGACATTATGTCTACAAACAAAGGTGGTATCCACAGAGTGAAGCCCCGTTTTATGGGTGGTAACTGTCTCCAACTTAGGAGTGTCCCTGGATCTCAGTCAGAGAGGCATTCAGCAATCACAAGGCTATCCCACCGGACAAGGTGGGTGGATTTTGGGTGCCTGAGGGCAATTACCCAAATTGCTTGGGCTGTAGGGTGACAATGGAGCCTCATTTGTCCCCCACAGTGGCAGGGGCTCGGGAGACATCCTTTCAGGAACACCCAGACTGCTACCTGACAGAGCTCACAGGCCTGTGGGAGGCTGCAAGCTAGTGATGCAAAGGAGGAATCCCCCAGAACCTCATGTAACTCATGGCTGACCTGCCTCTGGGAGCTGCCCTGGGGGCCTTCTGGGTGTCCACTGGGGTAGCATCCCCTCAAGGCCACCACTCCTGCCACCCAGACTTCCACGAGGAGGGCTGGCTGTAGTCCCTGGCAAAATTCCTAATTTTTAGATGAGCTCTCCATGATGTAATTACACAAACAGCACAGGAGCGGGTGGCTTCCAGCGCCATTCCTCCTGAAAGCTCGCTTTTTTCCTACAGAGACCCCACTGACAAATGACAACGTGCAAGCTCCAATTTGTCACCTGCATCCAAACAGCCAATTTAATTTGTTCTGACAGTGAAACCACCACACAGAAAATACCATACCCGGGCAGCAACGCGCTTGCCAAGCTTGGGGCCAGAGCGAGCTTCTGGGGCTGCCTGGGAGACTCATGAAATTACAAGTTTATCAAACAAGGACATACAGCTGTCATCATCCCTGAGGCACACCACACCTTCCAGGCAATCTGAGAGGTCTGTGCCAGTAAATGTTCCCAAGCTGTGACCAGGGAGGAGCAGGAGGCTCCCTGTGGAGGCCTGAGCCCTGCCCCAGCCCCAGACTGTCTCCTGAGCCCTCACTGACTGCTGAGGGACTGACCCCTACCAGCTGCTGGGAGCACTCTCGGTCTTGTCCCCGCCACGCTCCAACCAGGCACGCACAGCAGGGAGGGCGTGTGCTGGCAGCCCCTCTGTCCTCCTGGCAACCCTCATGTCAATTCTGGCTACACAGAACTGTTTCTAGATGGGCTGTCCATAGGAGTGACAAAGAGGGGCCTGTGGCCACCCCAGGAACCTGGCAGTGAATGAAGCATGGGGCCCAGAGTGAAGAGCCTCTATGCCTCAGTTTCCCCTGTGTGGAACAAGAGCTTGGAGCAGGCACTCTATAAAATCCATCTCACCTCTGACCATCTCTGACTCCAGCCCAGCCTCCCCTGATGGGGGATGGCATTCAGGACATGCTGGGTAGCATAAGGTGGCCCAGAGCCCAAGGGAGCAATGCAATAGGGTGTGGTTCTGCATGACATGCAGCTGGCCCAGACCCCGCTCTGGGAGAGACTTCCCACCCATGGGAGCTTGCAGGGGGGTCATTCTGGGAGGACAAGGTGAATGCTCCCATGTGGCCCACCCAAGGCAGGAGAGGAGGCTGACCTAAGGGCAGCATCTCTGTGTGCTGAAGGGAGGGCGGGACAGAGTCCCAGGCGCACTCTGGTTGGAGATAATGAACAGCCAAAAGGAAGTCAGTGCTACTCTGAGACCATGTGCACCCAGGTCTCATCACACGCATGCATGTGCATACACAGCCATGTGTATACATATGCAGCCACATGTAGACATACACAGCCACATGCATACATACACAGCCACATGCATACACAGCCACATGCAGACATACACAGCCACATGCATACACAGCCACATGCAGACATACACAGCCACATGCATACACAGCCACATGCAGACATACACAGCCACATGCAGATAGCCACATACATACATACACAGCCACATGCATACACAGCCACATGCATACATATACAGCCACATACACAGGCATACATATACAGCCACATGCAGACATACACAGCCACATGCACACAGACATGCACAAATGTGCAGGCATGTAGAGAGACGCACATATGTACATATACTGACAGGTACACACACTTGCACAAAGATGTGTGGGTGCACGCACACACATATACAGGCTTGGAAAGAAGCCTAGGAGTTCCACCTGTAATCCCAGCACTTTGGGAGGCTGAGGCAGGTGGATCACCTGAGGTCAGGGGTTTGAGACCAGCCTGGCCAAAATGGCAAAACCCTGTCTCTGCTAAAAATACAAATAATTAGCTGGGTGTGGTGGCAAGCACCTGTAATCCCAGCTACTTTGGAGGCTGAGACAGGAGAATCGCTTGAACCCGGGAGGCGGCGGTTGCAGTGAGCTGAGGTTGTCCACTGCACTCCAGCCTGGGCAACAAGAGCAAAACTCCGTCTCAAAAAAAAAAAAAAAAAGCCTAGGAGGAAGGAAGGAATCACCCCATTATGAAACCTGGGAATCTGTCAAATCAAGATGGGGCATGCTGCTCCAGCATGACTCCACAGGCCACTCCTGTGCCAAGGGAGGTGAATTTGGTCTAAGGAGAAACAAAAAAGATAAAGGGAGCTTTTCAGGAGGGAGAACTGCCCAGTAAGTTTTCAGAGCTAGACCCTGATCAGAAAGGGTCACAGCACCAGGGTTTACAGGAGAACGTCTGTGTTCCACCATCACTACAGATGGCAATGACCTGGAGATTCACAGGCAGCAGGGCAAGAGGGCAAGACAAGGGCTGGGTGGCCTCCCAGGAAGGTCCCCATGACTGCCTCATACAGCAGAGTCTCCAGGGTGTGGCAGAAGGGCAGCCTGATGAGAGAAGACAGGGCTCATGACTGTTTCTCAAACCAAGTGTCTATGGAGCCTGGAAGGCATGTGCAGAAACTGTGCGTACTGCAAGAAACCAGAGGAGAGAGCGCATTCAGATCACTTTCCACAAGTTGTTCACAACGTTTACCCAACAAATAAACTTTTGTTTCAAATACATGAGAGAGTAAAGACCAACAAGACAGAGAAAACATGCAGGCGGCCGCACAGCGTGGCTTCAGGTGCCTCTGGGCAAAGCCAAGCTCCCGGACACAGCTGACGGCACATTGCTGCAATCAGCACCTGGCCCCAGGTTTTTTTTTTTTTTTTTTTTTTTTTTTTAGCTGGTCTCGGTCTTGTTGCCCAGCCTGGACTGCAGTGGCACGTTCTCAGCTCACTGCAACCTCTACTTCCCTAGTTGAATCGATTCTTCTGCCTCAGCCTCCTGGGTAGCTGGGATGACAGGCATGAGTCACGACGCCCAGCTAAATTTTTTTGTATTTTTAGTAGAGATGGGGTTTCTCCATGCTAGAACTCCTGACCTCAGGTGATCCACTCACCTCAGTCCCCCAAAGTGCTGGGATTACAGGTGTGAGCCACCATGTCTGGCCTGCACCTGGTCACAGCGTTCACTGGTGAGGCCCACTGTTTCTGCCCGAAGGCTTGCACCCCCCTCAGCTCTGCAATGCCCATGCTCCAGCCAAACCCTCAGGCTAGAGGGAGACTGGAGCTGCTGTCTACGACACGGCTCGGCTGAGCTGTACTGGGCCCCGGGGTCAGCCTGGCCCCATGCTGTCTCACTCCGTTTCCACCTCCCAGAGGAAGGAAAGGCTCATGCTCCCCCTCATCCTCTTCCAAGAGCCCAAAGAGGGGTGGACGCAGGAGGAAGGGCGAGTAGCAGGGGCCTGAGTGTGCACCAGGAAGTCCAGCACCTGGGTTCCTCCCTTGGGCTCCCACCTAGCAGGTGCCCTGGTGGCACGGGGCCCCAGTCACCTGGAGATGAAAGCTGGTGGACCTGCCGCTGGTGGCTTCCATCAGAACGCTGTCCTTCTTCCGGGTCCGGAACATGAGCCCCAGTTACCAGGGCATGGAGATGATGACATTCAGGTCACTCCAGGACATGACGCTCTCACCACTGAAGAGCTGGGGCTGGGGCATGGCTGTGGACACAGGCTCAGGACCTCAGGTGTGGCCGGAAATCACTTGGGCCACACACTCTTGGCTGCAGGAGCGGGGCATGGGCCTGCAGGCTGGGCCTGGGCCTTTTTCATTTAACACTAGGACCAGTCTGAGCCACCTCTCTCTATGGCACATCTTGCCCTCACAGTCAGTCACAGGAGCTCCACAGAAGCCCACCCTGGGACGTGAGCCTCCTTCCCAGGAAGTGTGAAGACCATCAGGCTCCCAGTCGCCGATGGGCATGTCAAGGGGCTCTCAGGCTGGACAGGAGGCAGAGGTGGGGCGGGTTCAGGGTCCCTGGGCTCAGTGGCTGGGGGTGCTGGGGCTGGGCCCTGCCAACCCACCCTACCTGTCCCACCTCACACCTGTGGGACTGGGGACCCCAGGGGCAGGAGCAGAGTTTCTGCAGATGACAGTCTCTTGGCAAGGGCAGTATGAGTCTGCAGTAAATGCAGCAATGCTGCCAGAGGCTGCTGGCCCCCGATGTGAAGCCCCCTCACGGTGGTCCTGGGCACATCAAAGAGCGATGCCTCCCAGGCCACAGCAGCTGGAGTGGGGGATGGACGATGCCAGGCACTCACCTTGCTCGCAGTTCTTCCTGCCGAATTGGAGCAGACACTCACACAGGTACATGTTCCACCTGTTGACACAGGTGCCCCAGTTCTGACAGCACCTCCCCTCACAGAAGTTCCTGGGGGCAGCACAGCCTGGCAACACAGAGCGCGTGGTGGAGCCTGACTCGGAGGAACCGCCTGGGTCCCCTGTGCCAGGTGTGGTGTGGGAAACTGGAATGGAACAGAAACGGGGCTGGACAGTAGGCAGGCCAGGTCTGAACACCTCTGGCAGCAGCAGGAATGTGGGAACTGATAAGGTGCTGAACACACGGCCCACATTTGGAGACGCTAGGGCTCCAGGCCATCACAGCACCTGGCCCAGTCACCTGGTGACACATGCAAGACCCTAGGACCATGTGTGCCTCAGATTAGCTGGCTGGGCCAGCAGCGTCACAGCAACTCCAAACTGCAGAAACCCCAAACTGCAGAGACTGCAGGGCTGCACATCTGGTGAGCCTGGACTCCGGGATCCACTCCCAGGAGCTGCCTGCGGCTGGGCACACACACTCCTAAGAACAAGATGCCTCCCCGGGGAGCTGCAAGCGGTGCCTTCTGTGTGGCTTTGGCATCTAGTCAGATGCCAATGTGGCAGCCCCGACGCTGGTGGCCGCCCGTACCTTCCCTGGTGCCATTGTTGGTGATGAATCCAGCCATGTCCACATTTTTGCCGTCGACTGATAGGTTCCGCATGCAGCCCATGAACTGCCGGTTGTGCACCAGGAAGTCTTCTGGCAGGTTGGGGACGCCCCCCCACGAGCAGAGGGCCGGTCAGATCCGGGGACCTGGGGAGGTAAAGCCGTGCTCTGTGATGTCCCAGTGCAGGGATGGCGAGGGGTGGCCATGGCGGGCTGGGCTCTGCAGTTGCCTCTGTGTAGCCTCTGCCACCAGAACTACTTCAGAAACCAAGCAGGCAGGCGGGCAGAGATGAATGAGAGGCGGCTCCCGCATCTGGTGCTGCCACTGGCTCTGCACGCCTCTGTGCCTCTGTTTCCTTGCACTTGCGTTCAGTCCTGACGATCTGGGTGTTTTGTGCTCACCAGTGACCACCAAGTCCCACCCACTCAGGCTGGTCCATACCCAGATAGGATGTGAGCACAGGGACCATGGGTCAAGTTCAAGGACTCTACTTTGGCCTCTGAGACCTTCCAAAAACAGGAATGGACTTGAAAGGAGGCCAGAAGAATATGAGAGCCCTGGTGAAACCCCAGGCAGCGGTGCGACCTCGAGCAAGGGCTGCGGCCTCTCCAGGGCACGCTTTACTTCTCAGTGAAAGGGCACCAACCTGCCTCCATCCCAGGTGGACAGGATCAGACAAAACAGCAAGGGACTGCCCCCAGGGTCCTATCAGGTGCTCAGAATGTGCCAAGGCTGTCTATGTGATCTTCAAAAAGGCTATTCTGTGGTTATGTAGTGGCTTGTGCCTATAATCCCAGCACCTCAGGGGGCTGAGGCCAGAGAATTCCTTGAGCCCAGGAACTGGAGGCCAGCCTGGGCAACAGAGGGAGACTTTGTCTCTACAAAAAATTTAAAAATTTTGCTGGGTGTGGTGGTGTGTGCCTGTGGTCCCAGCTACTCAGGAGGCTGTGGGGAGGAGGACGGCTTGAGCCCAGGAGGTCAAGGCTTCAGTGAGCTGGGATCGTGCCACCGCAGTCCAGCCTGGGCAACAGAGCGAGACCCCATCTCAGGAAAAAAAACAAACAAAAAATAAGCCTCTGGGACGAGCTGGGTGACACAGCACTTCACTTAACAGAGTCCTGGAGTGCCAGGTACCAGAACTTGCAGGGACAAAGCCAGTGATCTGTGAATACAGGGCCGGAGACCATCTCTGGGTCTACAAGTCCGCCACCACAACCCTGGGGTCGGCATAGCCACTCTTGACAGATACTCAGGGGACTTAGTCTAGAAGGTTCTAATATGTCAGAGGGAAGGTACCCCAACTGTGGAGAGGAAATCTGACTCCGGCCTGGACTGAGGTCATCAGGGGACTGCACCCAGAGTGCCTGCATGGGGCCCTGCCCGGGGAAGGGCACAAGGTGGGCACGTTTGGGGGTGCAGACTCCCAGGGCCTCCCCTCCCGGATGCTCACTTCTTGAAGCTGGTCTGAGTGCCCTGGGCAGCACAGCTGTAGTTCCTGATGTCATTTCCAAAGTGCACAGCCATGGTTGTGTCACAGTCATCCACTGTCACCACGGCCATATTCTCCCTGGACGGCCCGTGGGGCAGGCCCAGGCGGCTGATGTTGGGCTGTCAGATGAGAAAGCACAGAGGGCATCAGCGTTTTCTCCACCAGTGCTCTCGGCAGGTGCACCCGTCACTTATGGAGTGGCGAGGACACGGCACAGGGCGGGCAGCACGTGGACAAGGGACGAAGAGCCTGGCCCCGTGAGTTCCCCAAACTGGCCATGCTGGGCCGCCCGGTGCCTCCTCAAGTTCGGCCTCCCAGAAACCTCAGGACGTGCCTCGTTTGGATAAAGGGCTGGTGCCAATGGAATTAATTAAGATGCGGATGCCCTGGAGTAGAAGGGCCCTGATCCCAGATGACCAGCCTCCTCCTGAGAGGACAGATGCTGAGACGCAAAGGCAGGCAAGGAGAAGCCGCGTGACCACGGAGGTGGCTGTCTACAAGCCAAGGGCCACCTGGGCCACCAACAGCTAGGAAAAGGCAGGAAGGGTCCTTTCCTTGAGCCTTCAGAGGGGGCATAGCCCTGCCCATGCCATGGCTTCAGACTTCTAAGCACCCGACTGGGAAAGGATAGTGTCTGTTGTCTGAGCCACCCTGTCCTTAGTACTTTGTGACAGTGGCCCCAGGAAATGAAGACAGCAGCTAACACCCAAGCCCTAGGGCCCCTCCTGTGAACACCTGCTTCCGCCCTTCTGGGGGTGTTCCTCCTGACCACAGCACCTGCTCAGGCTCCTGCTCCCCGACCCTGTGCTCCTACAGCACAGATACCAGGAAGCTGCTGCCCGGCCTGCAGACGACCCCATATCTCCCCTCTGAGGTGTGGAGCTCTCTGTCTGGGCCAGGAGCCCATTCCAGGCCTGGGTACAAGAGTTCTTCTGGAATCAGTGACCTGGGGTGAAACCTCTCCCTTCTCGAAGAGAATGTGGTTGCCATCCAGGGATGAGCCCGCTTTCCCTAGGCAGCCCTCACGGGTCTCACCTCCTGGTCAGTCCCTTCCAGGACCTGGAGATTATCCACCCAGCCAGCCTCAGATGCCCTTCCAGCAGGAAAAGCAGTGCCAGCCCTGTATGACTCATGCTGGCTACAGAACTTAAGCACATGGGTCTCAAAGTTCCAGAAAGGTAGTTGGAGCCAGCTCCCACTGGGACAAGTGACACAATGCCCTCCATCTGCACAACCTGAATGACGAGACCTGCCTCCCATGGGTGGCCATGACAAGCCAGGAGGTTGCCAGGGAGATGCCACCATGCCCACCATTGGCACACAATGCGCACCAGAACCTCCCCTCCACCCCAGAGAGAGCCTTTTCTTCCAGTCCCAGCAGGGCCCCTCCTACCACCTGTATAAAGGATGGGTTCCATGACTCCTCTTGATAGTTCTGGGGTCAGTTTGAGTTTATAGCGTGATGCAATCTCATGCTCCTTTCTCATAACTTGGAAATAAGTTGTTGTAAAAACATAGCATTTAGTTAAATCATCCTCAATGCCTTTTAATAGGAAAATAACCACATAGGTCAATCAAAAATAAATCTTCAGTTTTTAATAGGAACAAAGTATCTATTTGAGCAGGAAAACTAGGCTGAAAGGCAGGACCCAGAAAGGAAACAGGAGCTCAGCCAGAGGGCCAAGCTGCACGACTTCAGGGGACCCTGGCCACCCAGGCAGCACCCCCTGCCTGGAGTTGTGCAGTGCGCATCCCACACAGCTCTGTGTGGCCACCCCAGCTGAGGCTTCTACTCCCCCTTATCCAATCATCTAATGTGGATGAGACTCATCACCGTACCTCAATTTCTTTCTGTGCAAGATAATGACTTACTATTAGAACACATGTCTTCTCTGTGGTACAGGGACTTTGAGGTAGGTATCAACAGAGACATATGAGTTTCCCACATGCCCTTCTTGGTAAATCCAAGGGAGGCTTCTATCATGACTGGATCACCTTTTTCATCTTTCTTTTATACCAGCTGATGAAATCACAAGATCTGATAAGCTGTCTCCTTAAAGATTTCACTTTTGGTTACGCAGGAGGTAGGCGAGCACATTAAAAATCATCTCTTTTCTTGCTCTGTAACACTGCCCAGTTTGGAAAATGCTGGAGGTGCCCATATGGGTGCTTCAGTGTTAGGTGCGATCCCAGGGAAAGAAGAGCCTCCCCTCACTTTGTGAGCTGCACATCTTTACAACTTATAATTTACATTTTGGGAGCTGGGCATGAGACTTCTGGAGGAAGGGCATAAATAGCATTTACACTGGGAAGGCTTTCATGAAACTAAGCCACTGCTTACAAAACTGTAGTTGTAAACTGCTGCTGGTAATCAAGGCTCAGAGCTACGGATCAAGCAAAAACAGCAGGAGAGAGTGGTACTGACCCCTGCGAGACGCCCAGTGCTAGGACATCTGACTTCAGTCTGGCCTTCGTGAATCAGAGCAGCAGGCTTTGGTCTCTGACAGATAGCGCCCAACATGTGCTGCTGGGTTCTGACTCCAGAGAGACCCACCAGCGGCCGTCAGGTCAAAATAACAGCACTTTTGGCCAAATAGCCAAATGTTCTCAGGTGGAGAGCTGCAAGAACCAGCAGAAGGGCTGCATAGAGGAGCAGGGAACCTGTGGCATCTGAGGTCCCTGCAGCTCAGAGGAGCAATCCAGCATCTGGATGGCCCATCCCTCTCATGTTGCCCTAGAATAGGTGCTGAGTGGGGCCCTAGTGTAAAATGCCTGCCTCTCAGTGAGTCTGGGCTTAACATGCATGCTGATGTCTACTCTGTGGTCGAGGCAAGTGTTGGGGAGGCAGGGGTGCGTGAACACGGTGCTGTGGGTGATGAGATGCACAAACGGGGTTCCCCAAAGCATTAAATGCAGAACTACCATGTGACCCAGCACCACCCCCCCAGGCATATACTCAAAAGAACTGAAAAGAGGAACTCAAAAGCCAGTTCACAAGTGTTGATAACATTACTATTTACAAGTCACAGAAGGTGGAAACCACCTAAGTGTCCATCAGTGGACGAACGGGCAAACTGTGGCCCATCCCTGCACCAGAATCCCAACCACCAAAAGGAACGAAGCACGGGCACGCGACGAATCCCAGCCACCAAAAGGAATGAAACACGGACACGTGACAATGTGGGGGCCCAGAACACACCAGGCTCAGTGAAAGAAGCCAGACACAAAAGGCTACACTTCGTGTGACTCCATTCCTATGAAATGTCCATGCAAATCTAAACACAGAGCACACAGGTCCTACCAGGGTCTGGGGAGGAGGATGGGGAGTGACTGCTAACAGCATGGGGTTTCCTTTTGGGGTGATGAAAATGCTTTTTTTGAGACGGAGTCTTCCTGTCACCCAGGTTGAGTGCAGTGGCTGGCTCACTGCAACCTCTGCCTCCTGGGCTCAAGGAAATATCCTGCCTCAGCTTCCCAAGTAGCTGGAACCACAGGTGCCTACTACCACGCCCAGCTAATTTTTGTATTTTTAGTAGAGATGGGGTTTCACCATATTGGCCAGGCTGGTCTCAAACTCCTGACCTCAAGTGATCTGCCCACTTCAGCCTCCCAAAGTGCTGGGATTACAGGGCAACAGAGAGAGACTCCATCTCAAAAAAAAAAAAAAAAAAAAAAAAAAAAAAAAAAAAAAAAAAAAAAAAAAAAAAAAAAAAAAAAAAAAAAAAAAAAAAAGTTACTGTTGGTCAACTGATGGCATAAAAGTATTTTAGATTTCAGTAGAAGTGGTATGGCACAATACTTTCAGTATACTAAATGCCACTTTAAAACAATTTTATGTTATGTGACCTTCACCTCAATAACACACATACAAAAAGATTCCTGGGTAGGCATCCTCCCCTCCCCAGCCACCTGCCATGCTCCACCTGGTAACTTTTGGGAAGATCCTTCTAATTTTTCCCTCTAACATAGGGAGAAAATGCATTATTTGGCCTTCCTGCTCTGTGGCTATTAGTGATAAAACGCAGTCAGAGGGCAACTCATTCTCCCTGAGGGGTCAGGAGATGCATGGACAGTGGCACAGTTGGCTTGAATGGGGATGAGTGAAGACAACAGCAGGTGTGTGTGCCCTGGGCTCAGTCGTCCATTTCTGTCAAAGGAAGACAAAAGCCCATCTCTGCTGAAAGGCTGGCACAGAGCATGAGGAGGAAGCAGAGAGACTGCCAGCAGTAACAGCTCCAGACTTTGGAGTGGTGCATCCACTTCCCTCCGAGTTGCACAGAGAGAAAGCAACTCAAGCCACTTCTGCAGAACACTAGCGTGGAGGTTTCCGGCCAGAAAAGCACGTGGTGGCTTGGCTGGGTACAGGTTGGGGCGGGATAAGGAATGAGACAGATGAGCCGCCACTCACATTTCTTTTTTTTTTTTTTTTTTTTTT